GTCTCCAGGTTCCCTCTGCCTGTGGGCCTGGCTTGGCCTCTGCACCGGAGGCTGAGAGGAGGGGTCTCTTGGGGATCCCGTCTTGGTGTACTCCTGTGGTGAGGCTGCCGGCAGCTGCTTTCCCAGGCCTGGACTCTTCCAACCTTGCGGTGATGTGCAGTTTCACTCCCTCGTCTAGCCCATCGTGACTTCCTGTTCTTTTTCTGTAATGTTTTTCAGCTCGGCTCTTTCCTGTTGCTCTCCCAAGCCTGATTCTGGTCCGGCTCTAATTACCTCACACACACCTGCACTCTCCTAACATCCTCTTTCCTGTCTACAACTTTTCCTCTCACCATTTTTTTTTCTTTACACAGTTGTTAGAATCCTCTTCCTCAAGCATCATTTCCATCACACTCCTCCAGCAGCTCCCAGTTGCACCACATTCGAGGGCCAGGTCCTCTGCTGCAAACCCCCTCGCGTGGCCTGACCGGTATCTCCTTCCCAGCTGGGGTCCGCTCCAGCCAAGCAACGTCCTGACAGCGTCTATACGATGCTCTGACATCTGGTTAATCCAGTCAACTATGTCAAATCTTCAGTTAATCATCTGGATGTTTTGTCTACAAGACGCCAAACATCTGGATTGACTGAAGAAATTCACTACATTGATGGAGGGTTTTTTAAAGACTGAATTGACCAGATGTTTTGGCATCACGTAGACACACTGCTGTCTCCTACATTTGTCTTAATAGCTTGTCTGCACAGCGTCCTCTCCACCTGGAACATGACCTATTCTCAATGCCATGTTCTCCCTTCCTTCCAAATTACAGTCAAAATTCCCTTTGCCACAAGGCAGTTCTAGATTAACCCACTAAGGTGATCTCTTGGTTTACTCTACAATCCGTTCGTTTTCACATGTGTAATTCCTTTCAGCTGAAATCACTGTTTTGTGTTTTTGGGGGGTGTCGTCCCCTTCCACTGCACTAGATTATAAATGCTCTAGGTAAATGTAAGTTGCACCGTGAACCAGTCCCGCTGGTGGAGAGGCATCGAGCCCCTGAGATCAAGGGCCGAAGCTCTGAAAGTCACTCTTGCTTTAGATCCAGCTCCCCTACCTACTGCGTGAGCTGGACAACTTTCTCCCTTCTCTAAGCCCCAAGTCTTCCTCTCATTTCTAACATGGAGAAAACAATACAGTCTACTTCATGAAGTTGTTTATAAGGATTAAAGGGTTAATATAGATAAAGTGCTTAGAAGAGTGTCTGGCATTAAGTATCCATTAAATGTCAGCTCTTATCAGTATGAGCTTTGTAAAGGCTTGGTTTTCTCATCTATGTCTTTTGACTGTGAGGCGAGGTGGGTAAGGCAGCTGTTGCCACGCCCACGTGGGACAGGAGAACGATAGTAAGAGGTTACAGCACCTGCCTGTTGTAGGCCTAAACCCCGACAGCCTTGCTTTCGGCACATTCCGTGCTGGCCCTGAGTTCATTCTTGTCTCAAGAATTAGAACATTGCTTTTATAATGAGCAGGGACTTGCCCTGGCCGGTTTGGCTCAGCGGTTAGAGCCTCGGCCCATGGGCTAAAGGGTCACGGGTTTGATTCCCAGTCAAGGGTACAAACCTGGGTTGAAGGTCTGATTCCCTGGCCCGGGTCAGGGTTGTGGGAGAGGCAACCAATCAATGTGTCTCTCTCACATCAATATTTCTCTCTCTCTCTCCCTCCCTTCCTTCCACTCTATCTAAAATTCAATGGGAAAATATCCTCAGGTGAGGTCTAACTAACTAACTAACTAACTAAATAAATAAAAATGTAATGAGCAGGTACTTAAGGAAACAATATAGGCAGAAATGTGTTTTCCAACAGACCAGTGGTTCCCCAAAACTGTGGGTCTGTGCCCATCTGTGACAAAGTGTCTTGTGTTAAATGAGAAAAAGGCAATGTAGTGAAGTTTTTCTAACAGTTTATTCAAATGTTAGAGCTGATCCAGAGCCATGGTTGTATTCTTCCTTCATTTTTTAGTGAAAAATGTCCCAACTTTATGAAACAGTGGAGATACTGAATTATAAAATATGGAATAACCCTATATTGGATGTCATTTTTTTTAATGTGCTGGTTTATTTATTTATTCCACAAATACTTACTGAGTGCCTACTATTTACTAGGCATGGTTCTAGGCCCTGGAATAATAATAATAAACAAAACTGGCACAAATCTTTGCTGTCACGGAGGGCACTCTAGGGTAGGAGATGGATGGTAAACAATAAAAAAGTAATTAACTTCTCTAAGGCTGCATCCTCATCTGAATAATGATGACAAGAATCCCTACTGTGCCCTGGCCAATTTGGCTCAGCGGTTAGAGCGTCGGCCTGCGGTCCTGAGAGACCCGGGTTCAGTTCCCGCTAAGGGCACGTACTTCGGTTGCAGTTTGTCCCCGGCCCTGGTTGGTCGTGCGGGTGGCAGCCACTCGATGTGTTCCTTCACGTCGATGTTTCTCTCTCTCTCGCCCTTCCTCTCTCTCCCTCCCACTCTATCTGTACAAAAAATGGAAAAATGTCCTCGGGTGAGGATAAAAAAAAAAAAAAAAGAATCCCTACTGCATAAGGTTGTTTGTGTAACAGGTAAATACGTTAATAAGGCAAAGTGCTTAGGTGTTCATAGTATTGTTGAATATAACCAGAGAGGGAGGTTGACAGGGGCAGAGCATGTAGGGAGCGGATGGGTTGCGATGATAAAGGAGAGAGGTTACTGTAGGCCTCATTGAGCCGAGGGAGCCAATCTTTTGGACATTGGGGGTTGAGTGCTCCAGGGGAGGGACAGTCCAGTGCAAAGCACCTGAGGACCACACCTAGCTCATCCGATGAAACGCAGGAAGGATGGAGTGAGCGATGGGAAGGGTAGTAGAGAGGAGGTCAGAGACTGGGGTTTTGGGGTGGCTGTTATCTAGACAGAGCCTTTTACTCTGAGTGAAATGAGGAGCCACCGAAGTGTTTTGAGCAGAGCAGTATAACAATGTGACCTGTTTTAAAAGGTTTTGCTTGGCCCGGCTGGTGCGGCTCAGTGGTTGAGCATCAACGCTTGCACCAAGAGATCACTGGTTCAATTCCCGGTCAGGGCACATGCCCAGGGTGTGGGCCCATCCCCAGTGGGGGCATGCAGAAGGCAGCCAATCCATGTTCTCTCTCATCAATATTTCTATCTCTCTCTCTCTCAAAATCAATAAAGAAAAAAATATTAATAAATAAATAAATAAAAGGTTTTGCTTGGCTGTTAAGTTAGTAATAAAAAATAGGGAAATCCTGGCTGGTTTGGCTCAGTGGTTAGAGCGTCGGCCTGCGGTCCAGAGAGACCCGGGTTCAGTTCCCGCTAAGGGCGTGTACCTCGGTTGCAGTTTGTCCCCGGCCCTGGTTGGGTCATGCAGGTGGCAACCACTCAGTGTGTCCCTTTCACGTTGATGTTTTTCTCTCTCTCTCTCCCTCCCACTCTATCTGAACAAAATATCAAAAAATGTCCTCAGGTGAGGATTGAAAAAAAAGAAAATAGGGAACCAAGGGCGAAAGCAGGGAGACTAGTTATGGTGCTGTTACCTCGTCCACAGGAAAGTCGATGGTCCCTCTGACCTGGGTGATGGCAGGGGGAAGTGGTAAATAATGGTGAAATTCTAGATATATTCTGAAGGTAGAGCCAAAAGAATATCATAACAGACTGGATGTGGGGTGTGAGATAAAGACAGGAATCCAAACTATTTGGCCTGAGCTATTGGAAAAATGGCATTGCCAGGAGCAGAGACGGGTGAAGTGCCGATGAAGTGGTGGGGTGGCGGCCACTCGGAAGTGTAGATCTGATGAGACATGGCGTCCACACGATGGGCATTATTTAAGTTCACTCTGAAACAAACCTCACATAGTATCATGTTTAAGTTTACACTGAAACATCACCTGTTGACTTCGTTCATTGCTTCGGGAGATAGTGTCAGTTCTTAGTCGATGCATTCATTTATACCAACAATACAGTATAATTTGAGAATACAGATAAAATAATCACATTCCTCTTACCCTAAATAAAATGTTTCCTCAAAAATTGTAACTTAGCCGTGGCTAGGTGGCTCACTTGGAGGGTCTGTCATCCTTTACACCAAAAGATTTTGAGTTTGATTCCTGGTCCGGGCACATACCTAGGTTGTGGGTTTGCTCTCTGGCCAGGGTGCTTATGGGAGGCAGCGGACCAATGTTTCTCTCCCCCCCCCCCCCTTTCTCTCTCTCTCTCTCAAAATCAATAAAAATCATATCCTCAGGTGAAGATTTTTTAAAAATTGCAATTAAAGAATGATTTATACATATCACACAAATTGTAAGTTTCCTCATAACCATTGAGAACTAACCATGGATTATATACTACTTTAAAGTACTCATTTATTTTCTACATGATTCCCTTCATTTCAAATATATTGGTATTACTAGATACAGAGAACAAACTGATGGTACTGGGCTGGGTGAAAAGGTGAAGGGATTAAGAATACAAATGGGCAGTTCTAACAGTCATGGGGATGTAAAGTACAGCACAGGGAATATCGTCAATAATATTGTAATTACTATGTATGGTGTCAGGTGGGCACTAGACTTATTTTGGGGAGGGGCACTCTGTAACTTATATAAATGTCTAACCACTATGCTGTGTACCTGAAACTAATATGATACTGAATGTCAACTGTAATCAAAAATTTTTTTAAATTAAAAAAACAAATACATTGTTATTCAAGTGTTTGAATGTTATACTAAAACTCCAACGAGATTTATTTGGAAAATAAATGAGAAAGTCACTTAAGAGCTTCCTGCTCTCAACATCTCTTGTTAATTAACAAGTGCCAAAACTTTAGCAACAATATCATTTTTGGCATCACGAGAATGAAAAAAAGAAATTTCTATAAAACCAAGAACATCTTTTTGACTAGTGCTGTGAAGAGAGTCTCCAAAGACATTTTTGGTGATCAAGTCACATGGATTAATACTATGATCTAACCTTGAAGGAATAATTCCCAGCAGATGTAGAAGAGAGAGACCAGACTCCTGCCTGCATTTTATTTAGAAGCCAATCTTCTCTCCAGGTAGGACTCTCTGTCCTTCACCCCGAGTACCTTAAAAAAAAATTAAATGATGAATTTGTATACTGTATTTCAAAGAAATATAATTACATTTCTTTCCTTCCTCTCCCCTTCTTTTTTCTGTGAGATTTGCTTGCTTCTTGAGTTGACAGATAACCGAAGCAGAAACGACTAGCAGAGGGAAGAATCAAATGTGAGCCGGTGGCTTTGAAAACTCCATCAACAGAGCATCTGAGATACAAACTAGTCATAAAAACATAGGGTACAGATGTTGCTAGAACTTAGGACTTGACCAGCTTGTGTGACACGATCACACAAAATGGAAATACACAGGAAGAGTGTGATCGTGGAACAAGGTTACAAACCTTTGTGACTTCTTTCGTGGCAGCACGAGTTGTCGCTGACAGCGAAACAACGGGAACACAGCCAGCTGTCTTACGGGGCTTCTTTTGGAGGCAGGAAATCAGCCACGGTGAGTATTTACACCACGGAAATCGGCAAGTGCTGCACATCAGGGCTTTTCTTTCTGTGTGTTTGTGGTGTTTTTTTTTTTGGGGGGGGGGATCCAGTTTACCCTTACACTACTGAAAACAGCTCTCCACAGGGCTTTACAAAACCCTTAGCACCTGTGACATATTCATACAGCTTTGGAGAGGAGGGTTTTGGGGAATAAATGTGCATTCTTTCTACAAGCAGGGGACTACTAATACCCATCTCCGTACGAGTCAGTGTTTTATTATTTCCCTTGGAATTCAAATATCTTCAAATCCTCATTAGAAAGGATTTCTCTAAAAAATGGTTCCAGCTTCACTTCTCTGTACTAAAAGCCAAAAGAGGAAAGGAGATAAAATATATATGGGACAGGAAACCTGCTTTCTAGTAAGCAGAGTGGTGCCACCTGATAAACTGTATAAAGTCACTGGAACGGAGTCAAAGTCATAGAGAAACCAGACCTGCTCCTTGTTTTGTGTGTGTGTGTGTGTGTGTGTGTGTGTGAATGACAGTGTTCAAGAATGTAACCCCTCTTAACTTCTCTACACCCCGAACATACAAATTGCTTATACTGATAGAGCCCTCGGTGGTAACTCATTCACACCTCCATTTTCTTTCTCCTTATCACCAAGATTAAGCAGCATGTTTGGGCAGTAGTGTGCAGCTATCTAACCTTGTCCATGCAGGCTGCACTGACACAACAGACACAACACAACAGGTTTATGTACCTCACACGTCGGACCCTATCAAGACGCTTGGTAGTGACAGTTTGATAAGGACACCCTAGCTTATTGAACTGGTTCTAAAAACAACAGCAGCAAACCACTCATCTCCTCACACGTTTTAATGACCTTGTTCTAGTATGTCCCCATTTTTAGATGCAGCAGATGGCATTGCCATGTGGCCTCACAGGGAGCCGGGGACATGTGACAATGTGCGTTTTCATATTACGCCATTAACGATTCTAGAGAGAGCTGCATTTACTTCGATTACCTGCTGAGAAAAGAGAGGGCTAGGGCTAGCTTTAACTTTCACCTTGCCAACTGCTTCGACCACAGTAAAAAAGGGCTTGTCAGAAAATGAGAAAATAAGTTGCCAGGAGTTGCACTGGCCCAGTGGCTCAGTCGGTCGGAGGGTCGTCCCATACACCAAAAGGCTGCGTGTTTGATTCCCAGCCAGGGCACATACCTAGGTTTTGGGTTCGATCCCCAGTTAGGGTGCATGTATTCGAGGAAACCAATCGATGTTTTTCTCTCACATGAATGTCCCCCCCACCCCCCTGGTTCCTCTAAAAAAAAAAAAAAAAAAAAAAAAATCAATAGAAAAACGAATCCTTGGGTGAGGATTAAAAAAAGGCTTGGAGTTGCTTTTCTCTTTGCTCTCCAGATGTCTAGCATTGTCACAGACAATGAACAAGAGTGCTAACGACTTCATGTTTCAGGATGACATCCCTATGGCAAGACACATAAAAGAAAAACCCAAATAAGTATGAAATTACAATAAACTTAAAAAGGCTAGTTTTCTTACATTTTCTTTTTTTTTGGTCTTCGAACTGATTTTTTTTTTCAATTCACATGGCCCAAACATGTTCTTGTGACACTTCCAAAGACTTTACTAGAAGCACATTTAACACCATACAGGTATACTATACCATATAGTATGGATGTGGGGCAAAAGCAGGTTTACAGTTGTGCATATGGAAAACAAGTAAATAATTAATAAATAATACTACAAGAATAAACTGTTTTGTGTACACATTGCTGTAAACCTACATTTGCCTCATTTGTATTTAACAGATAATTAATTTAATTATATTCTTAAGCTTTTAAAAATTGTTATTGCTATTATTAAGGTCAAAGTCAATTCTATTACCATGGTGAAATTCTCCTGGTATGATTCTAATCTCTGTGGAATTTAAGATCTTTCTGGTCCTCGTGAATAAACTAGGGTGAGCACTTAACCAAGCTGGTGGTTTAATTTGTCTTTCAGTTGTTTTAAACCTATGTATTATTTTCTGTGGTTCCCTCTGTTCTTGGGACAATGCCACACTGGTGGGGGTGGATACATTCGAGGAGGAATGATAAGGAAACTTGTAGAGTACTTCGATATAAACAAATCAAGTGGTAATACATTTCATAATAATTGACAGAAACTTTGTAAGTTTGGAAAGCAAGATTTTGCTTTCTGAATACTTGTAATATCGAAGATATTACAACTTTGCGAGGACAACATAGGACATACTTCCAAACACTGGCTTACTTTTGGTGGCTTTGAGTTCAATCACCTCGCTTTTGAGCTACCCTGTCCCACTACCCTGTCCCTCTCCGCCTCTTGGACACTTTCTGCTTCCTGAAGTAAAAACGAAGGTTTCTCGTGAGTTCCGGGAGTCCTGTTTTCTCACCTCAGGTTCTAGATCTGATCATACAAAAAAAATTATGAAATATTTCAGGTGTACCAAAATGTATAGAGAATACTATCATGAGGACGGAGTACCCATCCTCTGCCTTAAGAAAACATTACAAACACGAGCAAAGCTCCCTGTATATTCCTTCTGCCTCCTCAGAGGTAACCACTATTTCTATACGTTTTGTATTTTTGATACACATGTGTACATCCATAAACTATATGTAATAGTATGTGTTTTAAATTTTTATACAGATGGTCTCCTTTTTTTCATATTATGTTTAAAATGAACGAATACGTATAGGTCTGGTTTACTGATCTTCACCATTACAAAATATTTGATAGTATGGATATAAAACGACTGATCAGTTCTTTGGTCGATGCTTCAATGTCTATTCAGTACAGGCCTCCTTGAGTGACTTGGGAGAATTTCTTTAAGGTACACTCCAGGATTAGAATTGTTGAATCATGGATGCATCTTTAATTTCAGTAGATACTGCTGACCTCCAAGGATGGAATCGGCAGCAGTGAGGCCAGCGGTCACTTTAACGAGCCCTCTGTCTGGAAGGGGGTGGGGGAGGAGGGAGTCCAGCAAGAATGTGCATTTCTAACACGTCCCGTCTGCTGTGGCCGCCGCAGGGTGAGTCGGGGCTACATTTTGAGCACTAGTGCTCTGAGAAAAGCCTTTTGGATTACAGAGGGAGCTGGTGAGCCTGTCTGAGAAGATGTGGCTGGTGAGGTTTTATAAGGTAACTGAAAGTTAGCTTGTGGATAATTTTAGCATTCGGATTCTAGGAAAAAACCCTGACTAAATATAGATAATATGTAGTAAATAACTGGTATGCGTGATTGCCAACAAAGGCTGGACTCTCGGTGAGCTGCACTGCCCGACGGGACCTCTGCATGTCTCCTGCTGTGGAGCAGGGTGGAGGATGGGCAAGGCCCCGGTCGGGCAGGGTGTGCAATGAGCTGGGCTGACATGAGCGTGCGTTAGCCCAGACGCAGGTGTGAGCATCCACGTGGGGGTGCCTCACAATCTAAGGCAATGGGGCTATCTTACTGATTTGGCTACTTTAGATGGTTATATGCAAAACAACCAAGAAAAAAAAAATCAATCTTTATATTATATAATGTTTTTATTATATTCCAAAGTTAGTACCACAGTAACAGAATGACAGGGAGGTTTTCCTCAAATACTTTCTGTAAGAACTTCATATAAAAAAATCTGGAAAATGAAGCTTTCACATATTTTAGGGTAAATAAAACAGTCTACAAATGGTTACGATGAAAACGGGAAAGTGATTTTATTTCACATTTAGCAATATAAAAGGTCATAAGAAATTAAAGTGTGTTCCAGTCACCAAAAGCATATGTGTGTGTCAGTCCACAATTTACATAACAAGATGACTGGTTTTCACAACCAGACAACAGGTTCAAAAATGCTTCCTTCCATGCCCTTAGATGCAGCTGGGAGCAATGAGCCATGTATTGCAGGCGCACTTCAGCTGGTTCTGCTGTCAACGTTCTCCTTCCTATCTTCTTTCTTTCTTCTCTCTCATCAGTTTTTTGCTTTCTTCCCTTCTTCGTTTAGTCACTGGATTCCGAGGATCATAGATTTCAAACGTGTCTGAGTCCTGCATGCTTGCATCTTTCACTTTTCTGCTTTTATCCTCAAACTGAAGTACATGTGACATCCTGAGGAGGGAGAGAGATGGTTCAGTGATTTCAGCGTGGAAACTGAAAGCAGAAATTCTGTACACCGCCACCCCTAGCATAATGAACTACGAGGGTGCAGAACACAAAGATGGGTTTATTGTTTATTGGAGCTTGTACCACATGGAAACCAACTTCTCAGAAAACGCTTGAATTTGAAAAACAAGGCTGGAGTTTGTTCTGTTGGCTTGTATTTCTAGTAGTGAGCATCTTTGCCTCAGTTTTTGCTTGAGGTTCTTTCCCTGATGGGAGGTTAAAAGAGTTCTACACAGAGTTTAAACTAAACTCAGCAGACATTCTGCCAGCACACCACTCTCGCCTGGTGGTGGGGTGAGCACTGTCCCATGCACCGAGAGGTCGCAGGTTTGATTCCAGGTCAGAACATCTGCCTGGGTTCGATCCCCAGAAGGAGGTGTGCAAGAGGCAGCCAATTAACATTTCCATCTCTCATCGAAGTTTCTATCTCTCACTCCCTCTCTCTTCCTCTCTCTCTAAAAATTCAATAAACAAAAACATTAAAAAAAATAAAATAAAGAGCACATTCTTAGCCAGAGGGAGCCAGACTAAAGAGCAAAGCTGACAATAAACAAGACCTACCTAATTTTTTGTTTTGTTTTTAGTTAAATAGGTCACGAGTAGGTAATGTGTTAAGAAAATTATTCTTCAAATGGTATTATGACTTCATTTTCTGTGGAGTTGCTAAATTAAAGGAACATATTTTTTCAAACAAAAGGAAACTAAGCTTTTGGCACAGCTCCACAGACTAATTTCCTCCTCCTACTGTTGACTACAACAAATCTAACCACCGTGCTTCCCTACTTTATCAAATGCGTACTGGTCTTAAGGTCTCAACATGTGCTTGACTCCTAAGTGGTCATAAGCTGGCTATCCTTAGCAGCAGGGAAATATGTAAGTGATTAGCTCTGTCCCCATTAGGAGGTGTCAGGAATAAATGGGGAAGTTAAAGACCAGGTTTCAGGGCAGTTGAATGAATTTGGAAAGAGGAAAGTTCAATTTTTATATATAAACAAAACTACTAAGGCATTCCCACTAGTTGTCTAAGCAATTTTTAAAACAGGCGTACAAAGCACTTTTCTTTATCTCAGCAGATAGGGCTGAATTGCCTATAGGATTAACACTCTGCATACACCAGCTGTAACTTTCAGATGAAACCCAAACATTACACTGGTTTCTTTCTCCCTGCAGAAGCGCAAACGCTGAATGAGGTTACTTGTGTGACAAACTCCCAAGGACACACTCGGATTTTAGAGAATCTAAGCAAATTCTGGGAGGGAAATAAAAGGCTACAATATTAGGGATACTATCATTGCTCAGGGTGCAGTAGCTACAATTCACCAGGCTGACAAGTTGAGTCTACCTACCATTCCCACCCCTTTCCACCCTAGATACAGCTTACTGGAATGCGGTGAGGATGAGTGAGATTAATGACCTAGGGTTTCCTTTAATTTTCTAAATGAGGCAAATCACATTTCTACAATTTATTATTAAGAACAGATTATTTGCATTAAATTCATAACTGATGTCAGTAATATAGGAACATGCCAGCTCACATGTGAGAACTCTTGACTTTTCAGACTTCTTGTTGCTTTAGTAATAAATACCCTGATGTAGAAAATGCATCACAGGATCATGGCCAATTTAGATGGATTCCTGTCTGACTCTCTCGTGTGTTCAATTACCTACGGTGTTCAAGCATTAGCTTCTGAGAATAAAACAATCTCCAACTCCCACAAAAAGTCTGGTTGTTCTACAGCCATGGTAACTAGTGACTACTAGAACTGATTTGAAACATAATCACACCGGATTTAATCAATAAATGATGACTCGCCTTGGCCTAAATGCACCTCAGTAAATACTTCAGTAAATACACCTCGAAAGCCAACTAATCGGTGACAGCCTTGGGCTTTTGAAAGCTGGCCAGTCCGTGGCGGACTCACTCCAGTGAACAGGCTTCTGGAAGCCAGCTAATCACCGACAATCTCTCCTGAACAGTGTGCTTCTGAAGCGGATGTCCACCCCTAAACAATCTCGATCCTCCGAATCTATATAAAGATTTGCAACCTGCTTTGCTCAGAGACACTGAGTCTAAAAGCACAGCTCGTCCTTACTTCAGAAAGTAATAAATCCAGCCTTTTGTTTCAGATATTAAGAGGTGGTCTTTTCTTTTGACATTCTTTACGATGCGTTGCACTGCCCACAAAGCACACTTTTTAGAAACTGTAAGTGTATCACCGCTGCGGAGGGCCCAGTTGAGAAGCGCGGCGGCCTGTTCGGGCCCTTTGCCCCACCCTGCACTTCCGGAAGCGTGAGCGCTTTCCAGACGAGTCCTGTGCAGAGGCCTTAGCCCAGACCAGGGAGTAGGTGGGACCATGTGCCCTTTAAAATAATTTACCCAATACTCCTATATTGATATACATATAAACACTATCTTAGTTAACTTATTAATACCTTTCCATCTATGCATTCTTCTATTTAAAAAATTATCCCTTTTCTGCCCCCCAGTACAGATGGGTTTGTGTAATATCCGTTTCTATTAGGGGCTGTCCATGTTTCAAAATGACTTTACCAGGATTTGTCAGTTAAAACATAAAAAGCCACCTTCCTCCTTTCTATGCCGTGAAAGAATCGTGCAGCTATTGGGCTGAGTTGGCTCTGGTGTAAGAAATGACATCTCGACATGTGACCACAGCACAAGGCCCAGAGAAAGAAACAGATTTGAGTACAAATTTGGAAAAACAGAAAGCCGTAAATTAAAGTAGCTGTCTTTTTCAACTGTTTGCCTCACACACCACTGCACTAAGCAAGTCCAGCGTTTTGATTAATAACAAGCCTAAATCCAGAGGAAAGAAGGGGCGATCAGCTTACAAACTACTTCAGCCTTAATATCATAATAGTACTTAGCATGGCTGGTTACTCAGCAATAATATTTAATCTTTAATAGAAATATAAGCATAATCAAAAATGTTTCACCCATTTATCTTTCAACATGCTTCAATCACTTCATTTTAGAAAGCAAACAAAAGTTATTATGATTTTCAGCATAATAAACTCCTGACCTGTGTGCCGCCATAAATCACAGGCTGCACGGACTGAAAGCATGCCCTCGTTTTAAGTCTCCTGTGAGAATACACATGCAGACTTATAATACAGACTTAATTTGAGTACATACGGGTCTGGTAGTTTACAATCTTGTATGTACCGAAAGCTCAGTGCTATACACTGTGGCGGGTCATGGAATTGGCCCAACAAGACCAGTGAATTTTTTGGAATTAAGCACACACTGATCATTTACATATGAAAATTTTAGAACTTGTTCACTTGAAGACCAAGACAGAAATTTAGTTCTTATTAATAAAAAGTTTTACATAAGCTCAGATTCTCAAATGAGAACACTGATTTCAATGTGTTAGAGAGACGGAGGATTGCCATTTTCCTAGAGGCTGTGTTGGACAGGTAACTCTCTTGGTCTGAGACTGTGGGATTATAAACAAAAGTGAAGAGCGGATTCTTTGGAAAGGACCCACACCTTGACTAACCTTACCAACTTGACAGCTAGTTATTAAACTTCTCACACAGTTGTGAAATACATTAAGATATGACAGCAATTAATATTAATAAGAAATGCGAGAGGCACTCATTCTCAGACATATAGTAAGTAGCTCAAAACAGAATTCCAGTATTAATAATTCACTTTTGACTAAAATGCATTTGTTATTTATGCTTATATAATGAAAACAGCTATCTTTTTCACTGGGAATTCTATAAACCACCCCTTCCCATTTCCAAGTCTCCCTAATTGAGGAACTTGGCACCCAAGCCTTAGATTGTTGGAGGTGTCCTAACTGTTTTACATCTGTACTATTTCTCCTCCTTATAATCCCCCAAAGGGTCCAAAATAATCTTTTTTACACATTTCTTTTACAGCATTCCTTCGAGCAGGACCTATCAGCTATTGTATTAGACTGAAATCTCAGCCTGACTTTAAAAACCCTCTAACAATGGGATCTTCCTATCTCCCAACCTCATTTCTTTTCTTTCATCAACTCTCACCATTCTGCAATTGCCTGTGTACTCAACTGAACAGCCTGTCAGTTATTCCAGACAGTCTGAGTCTTGTTCACAGCTGTCGTCCCAGGGCCAAGAGTGGTGACCGGTGCTGTGAGTCAAAGCCTTCAGACCCTTCGTGCGGGCCAGGCCCGCGGGCTGGTACTATCTGGTTTGCTAAACTAACACTTGACCCTCCTCTTGTGGGCAGGGACTGTCTTTTATTTCTATGATACTAGTAAAATGTCTAACAGGCTCTGCAGGAAGTGTCGTGCTCAGCGCAAGTGCACCTTCCCACAGCCCCTCAGCTCAGCACACACGATTGCTGCCCCCCGCCCCCCGCCCGCCTCTTAGCGAGGGCTAGTGTGTGTTCCCTGGGACTGCAGTGGGAGCAGGCCGTATGTTCTTTTCCATTTCCTGTGGCACCTAACGCAGAACTACGCAGGATATGTTTTAAAGCAATGTTCCTCAAAGCCTAATCTTAGAGCAGCACATCAGACGCAGGCTATACACTGGAATCAACTGGGTAATCAATTGTCCCGGGTTGGGGCTCCAGCATCTGCAAATGAAAATGTTTTCCTGGTGGTTTTGAAATACAGCCAAAGTTAAGACTACAGCACTGGAGTATAAGAACCTTTACACTTGCAGACTGATGGACCTCATCAGCCAGTTGTTCCAGCCCCTTCAGAGATGAGCACAGACGTTTCCCAGTGACACACTGCTCACGTACCTGAAGCAGCTGACGTGGCCTCTGAGCCTATTATTTTAACTGAATAATCGCAAGTGTATCATCCATTTCTTATATATGGGTTGAGGACAAGGCAAGCAGCTAGATTCAATTATTCATTCAACAAGCATCAGAGTGTTTATGTGTGAAACCCAATGTCAGACGCCAGGGACCACAAAGCCGAATATGA